AGAGGCGTTTAGGAGGATTTTCTGAAATGGATCTCATCGCAATTGCGGCCAGATTCTGTCAAAGTAGTACGAGTGCAAGGTTGACCTAAGCGTTCAACCACGCAGAGACAGTCTCTCTCTTTCCGCTCGCTCATCTCTTTCCCCCGTTCCTGTGAAGTCTTCGTTGCTATAATTCCTCTCTCTCTCTCTTTTTCTCTCTCTCTCTCTCTCTCTTTCTCTCTCTCTCTCTCAGAGAACCTGCTCTGTCCAATGCTTTTCTCGTTCTCCCATGGCAGTGAAATTTGTTCCTCGCTTCTCTTGCAGTGAAAATTTTGTTCATCTCTCTCTCTCTCTCTCTCTCTCTCTCTCTCTCTCTCTCTCTCTCTCTCTTCCAAGTGGCGAACCTCTGTTGCTTTGGCGGTGTTGCTTTGGCGGCGTCTTTGTCTGTCTCTGTTTGTCTGTGTTTGTGTGTCTGTCTGTTTGTGTCTGTATTTATCTTGGTAATTCGACTATGTTCCGACTCAATGGCGCTGCAAGCTTGTGCGACGACAATGCGCATCGCTTTCTCTTCTTCTCTCCTCTCTCCCTCCCGTAGCATCGCTTTCTTTTCTTCTCTCCTCTCTCCCTCCTGTACCTTTCTTCCCCAATCTTATATGCTGAGGTGTCCATCAGTTGGTCAACATAGCGATGCAGAGATCTTTCACTTCACTCCTTTCCCCCCCCTCCGCCCTCTCAGTTCTCTGGCTGCCTTTTCTTCCTTCTCTGCCATGTGTTGATGCTTAGCCCTCCACCCCCCGGCCCCCCTCTCCCTCCTCCCCGGCCGCGCACGATCTGTCCAGCCACCCGTTGGTTATATTCTGTTGGGTTGGCGGACTTGTACGAGAGCCAGAGAACTGCTGAAGAACCGGCGGAGATTCGGAGAAGCAGCGGGGGACCGAATGGCGCAGGAAGGAATGGGGGATGAGGGCCGAGAAGAAATGGGGGAGGAAGAGGGAGTAGATGGAGGGGTGCTTTTTTATTAGGCTAAGTAAATACGGTGGAGGTTTCGACAAGTCCTGGCCAGTACCCGAACTTTCAGGAGGCCGAGCCGGACGTTGATCAATCTGATCGGCGGCCGTCGTTTCGTTTCGGCCTCCTGAAAGGTCGGAGGCCGAGTATTTTCGAACCGACAAAGGTACTGGTGGTA